ATATCAATTTGAAATGGCGTGCTATAGATATGACCGATACTGTATATAACACTGCAGAAAAGTAGGGATACGAGCGTTATGCATAACACATGCGCATATACATATGTATGTATGTACATACATACATATATACAAGATTCAACACATATGGTTTTACATATAAAAGACGAGCATGTGGGAAAAATAAAAATTAATAATAATTGCTCAATTAAACTAGAATTCGCAATTGCTTTTAGAAATTTCAAGTTTAATTATGTACAACAGCCGTTTTTTAAACGAGATACATAAATGCATATGCACATACATATGTACGATTGCAATATATTTTTCAAATAAATCCAAAAATTTACAGCTGCCCTAAAGACATACACCCATATTTCTGAATGGACAAATTAACAAAAGCGAAATCGCATTTTTACCTTTGCACAAAGATACATACATACATACATGCATACTATACATACATACATATGTACATACGTATGCATCAGTGAACTTCTGACAAAACAACTTAGTGTTTCGTTTGAGTATTGTATGGGAACCCAACAATTTTATACTTAAGCTCGAAAATTAGTGATTTCGTTAAATGTCCACAACAGACAAGTTCTATGTAAAAACCTGCCATGAAAACACTAATCCAAAGTTTCTCAACGTTTAGAATATCGATAGGAACCGGCTTATCGCCAAAAAAAAAATTGAGAAGTGAAAGTGTTATGACTGTAAAAGAAGAAAATTTGAGCCACACACAACGCTGATCCTTTATGGGATCATAAATAAGTTTCAGTTGCTCCCGCCGTTTTACAGCGCCAAAAATGAAAAAGAAATAATATGACACCCTGAGTTAATAAGAACGAGACCGTGTTATCCTGGTAAAAGTCATAACCTCTATTGAAACACATTCAAAATTATTATTTTTTTCTTTTTTTTTTAATTTCGCTAACGACTTGTTCCGTTAGATATTTATAAATGCTTATTTAAAATCTGGCAGTGGACCAGTCCGAAATAAATTTGAAAAATTAGTACATATTGCATTTCTTTTGAAAATTGACATATAAACGTAAATAAAGCCTGTCATGTGTTCCATTTTTGATGGGACTCCATTAAACAAAAATCGGACCACCCCACCGNTTGTGTCTTCACTGATCATTACCGGCTGTACGACACAGGAAGAATGGAACGCTGAAAGTATGGAAAGAAAGACAATTACAAATAAGTTAAGTATGTACATATATATCATTTCAGTCAGTGCAAGTTTACCGAAAAATCGTTTCTGCTCCACCTGCTGCCGGAAGAGGTTCAACGAGGGCACTGGATGTGTACTATAGTTCAGCCTCTGCAGGACATCACTAAAAATACCATGGTAATACTGGAACAGCACATCCTGTTTATGTAGTCGTAGTGGCTCCTGCAGTGAGGTGTTGAAAAGGTGATGCAGATCCAGCGTCGGTGAGCCCCAGAAAGTGTATTGAAAGTCGATGAGAAGCACATCGACGGGCTCGCTTGTCCTAGGATCATATTTGAACATGACATTGTTGACCCAGAGGTCGCCATGCGCCAATACATTAATATGTCCCGCAGTTGGCGCAAAACAGCGTTTACCAATTTCCATATAGTGCGGCGCTAGCGCGTTCAATTTATGGCCGTAGTACGCACGGTCGGGCATATTCTTCAGAATGT